TGAATGAACAAAAAGCAGCTGGCTTCCGTAGGACAAAATGTTGATTCACCTAGCTTACTTTTATAGAGGTTGTTGTGCAAGTTCCAAAACTTCCAATTTCCAAAGAGTATCCAAGGCCCTATGGTCTTGTAATTGTACTTTTAAGTTTTAACGCTCAGTAGAGTATTAGTTAAGAAATTATTATTATTCAATTATTGATTTTTTAATATATAATAAATTAGTTTTTTAATTTAATAATTTAATTTTCAAAATAATTAGTCAAATACATTAAGAGCTCGTTTGTTTCCGCTTTTAAAAAAAGTAACTTTTATCACTTCTTTATTTTAAAAGTATTTTTTACAAAAGTTAAAGCTATTTATATTTTTATAAAAATATTTGGTTTTTGAAAAAAATATTTGGCTTTTGACTTCTGCTTTTCTTAGAAGTTAAATATTTTAGCTTTTGAAAAAAGTAGGTTTTTGGCTTTTTTTGTGTCTTCTCTTTTTTTAAAAGCAGACAACCAAACGAACTAAAAACGAGAAGTGCTTTTTTTCTTTAAAAAAAGCAGCTTTTGAAGAAAAAAAAGCTCATCCAAACAGGCCCAGGTAGAAGTGTAGAATCGAGATGTTGTCCGTATTGCAGAATTCAATGCTTGTACTCCCACATTCTTCTTCTTCTTCTTCTTTTTGCATTACATGGGAATTGAACACATACCACTACACTACATACACCACCTAACACACACCCCACACCACTAGGCTAATCCTAGTGGATCACATTCTTCCAATTCTTGTGGAAATTTAGAATGATTATATTAAATTTAAGGGAAATTGTTTTTTTCATATGTATGAGATAATTATCTCATATCACAAAAATATAAAAATATGTGCCTGCAATTTTTTTTCTTTAACTTGTGGACTTCACATTCCTTATTAGTATAAGAAAAAAAAATTCTCTCATATTAAATGAAAGAAGTATTACCCTAAATTTAATAGTACAACCGAGGAGTTTAATTTGGTATTTTCTTTGAAAAAATAAAATGTTGTATTATTTTTTAAAATTACATTCAAAGTAATAACAGTTACAAATTAAATAATTTATGTATCATATAAAATTTCTTATATTACAATGTTTTTCTATCACTATTGTTACGCGACAATTTTTCAAACTTTAATTTTTTAATAATATAACCTTTTTTAGTTTTTAAATTTTTTTATTTTTTATTTTTTTTCTTTATCTTTCTTAACTTTTCATCTTTTCTAATAATTCAACTTTTTATTTTTCAATTTAACAATGAAAGTATTTCATTTTTTAATAAATTAAAAAACTGCTTTATGATAAAAACATACATTAGTAAAATATCCTAAAACTATTATTTTTAAATATATTTAATTTTTTTTTAATTTTAATCTTACAAGTTTCAATCATAATAATTCAATAGAACTGAGTGAGATGCAATTACAGCCTTTTTCATCTCCTTTCTCCCTCCCGCTTGGATTTTTCTCTGAGCTTTTTCAAGACTCATTCATGGGTTTTTTCACCCTTTTGCCCCTTATTAATTAATTAATAACCATTTTGCCCCTGATTCGAAACTATCTACCAATCTGCCCCTCTTTAATCGACTACCTTGCATTTTTAATCGACTAAACGGTTGTTGGGAGATTTAATCGACTAAATCTCCCTACTTAATCGATTAAAATCATACTCACTTATTTTTTTTTTGTCAAATATGAAGATTTAGTCGACTAAATCTCCCAGCAGCCATTTTTTGTCTGTTTTGGCCATTTAGTCGATTAAAAATGCAAGGTAGTCGACTAAAGAGGGGCAGATTGATAAATAGTTTCGAATCAGGGGCAAAATGGTTATTAATTAATTAATAAAGGGCAAAAGGGTGAAAAAGCCCTCATTCATGCAACAAGTTCTCCCTTGAATTAAAAAAATAAAATAATATTATAACTTGATTTAATTTATGTAGATTTTATTAATGACAATTTATTATTTATGTAAATAAAATTATAATGAGAACCCAAAACCTTAAGATGTTGGGTGAGAGCCTTTTTAATGGTTTATATTATTCTCTAACGCACCCCCTCATGCAATAGCACTTTGGGCTTGAGTGTGGATATTACTTAGACCCAATTTTTGATTTACCTTGTGCTTATTAATTCCACTAGAAAGTGGAGGAAGATGAGGATCGAACTAGTAAACTTGAGGTCACTGAAGTTCTGTTACTATTTAAAGAATCAATTCAACTCAAAAGTTTAAGTTGGCGAGTGATTGTTTTTTAATAGTTTATACTATTCTCTAACAAATATTATATAATATAACATAATAATTAAATAGATATTTCGGTTGCTATATAATTATTTCAAGTAAAGAAAAAATTAAATAAACATTCCACAAACACCATGAATCTGAACTGTTGAAAAAATAATTGAACGATGATGATTGATTGTATTTAAGAAATGTGAAAAATTAATAACCCACTCCCTCAGAACACAAGTTCAGTTACGAATTTAGTTATTCTTAGAGAAATAAAAGGTTATCATTTCTTCACTTATGCTAATATTTCTTCTCTTTTATTTCTCATCATCCTTAGTTTATCTATAAAGGGGAAGTTTCGCGAACTCTTATTTAATTTATTTTTAATTCAAGTGGTCATTAACTAATTAAGTGGTTCCCATAATTATGCATTATCCAATAACTATCTTATATCTAACTGAAAGAAAGAGAAATGAAAAAGAAAAGAAAAAAGAATAGTACGAAAAAGGTTAAACTAGCCAAAAGAAAACTAATTTAAAAGGAATTTTTGATGTCCAATTTTATAGCAAAATTAATTTCTATAAGAACCAATATAAAAAAAATTAAAATAATTACCAACTACTTTATATTTATAACTTTGAGTTCGTTATATTTAAAATATCTACATTCTTAGATTAAATTGGTATGCAGTGGCCTTAAGAAAGGTGTATTAAGATTTGGAAAATGTTATATTTACAATTTTTTTATTATTATCTCTTATTATCAATTCTTAACTGTTGATTTCCGTTAATCTAACAGTTATAATTTATTGAGAATTAACAATTAATTAATAAGTGTAACTCAATAAATTATAACTGTTAGATTGACAATAATCAACAGTTAAGATTGATAATAAGAGATAGTAAGAAAAACAGATAATAAGTATAACATCTCCCCTAAGATTTAACTTGGAACACAGTTGCTAGGCAAAGAAATTTATAAATTAATGCCGTTGAATTGATAGTTGAAAGTTCAATCCGAGTTATAATAATATTGTTGAGAGTTAACAAAAACGGCTTAAGGGGACCATCATTGCTAGAGATTAAGAAACTGATTTCCTCCTTTACCAAGTGAACATAAACCGAGAAGAGTGAGCTCTTTTAATTCTGATCCCATACCGATGCAGATTAATTTAACGAGTGGACTATAATATGTGGTGATTAGTTATCTTAAAAACTCTTCTTTTGGGAGTAATAATTAATAAAGGTAATTATTTAATGAGCTTGTTGAATGCAAGGGGTTAAAGTGCACATGGAAAAAGCAATGCTCCTGATGAGTGTCACCGCTGAGACAAAAGTGCAAAGGCATTTTCCTAAGAAATTAAATACGGAGAAACCAGTTCCGGATTTGTTGTACGGATATTTCCTTAGATCTGAAGGCTGTTGCCTATTCTTTGTTTTGTACCACTCACGTTTAATGCCCTGGATGGTCAAGGGTGCATCAATCCAACACATGCTGCCCATCTTTCGGTGCAGTGTTTCATATTGACAAAATTGACATATATTCTATTATGAAAATTTAATTTATTTTTTCATATTATCCATTACTTCATTAATTATTCAATTAGTTCAATTTAAATAGAGTAAGATTACATAGGTAATAAAATTTTCTTACTAAATTTTAACATATGGGTTCCAAGATACGTGAGAATTAAACAGAAACAATCTCATATCAATTAATGTGGTATTAAAAGCAACCTTTGAAACCATCGTCAGCTTCCATCCTGGAACTGAAACTAGAGTGGGCCCACTACTAACAGTGACGTTACGTGGATGGGTTGCTTCCTGTGTCAGCAAGCAGACAACAGAATCTCCCAAGGAGAGAACAAGGTCAAAAAGAGAACCAGTGCTTGCAGCTATTGGTTGCTGATAATGTTATAATATAGAGATTAGAGCAGCCCGCAACTCCACTCCACATCGCAACCCTAAAACTCCAACTTCTCCAGAGTGTTTTCTATTCTTTTCTTTTTTTTCTTTATGTTATTATATGAAAAAATTTAAAGAGAAATAAAAAAAAATGAATAAGCATAAACTTTATGCCTCTGACAGTGACTTTGACCTCTGCAGTGAATTTCAAACAGATCTTACACGACTCCCCAAGTTCATTGACGTGACTTAACATAATTTGTCTGTCTCCCAATGCCATCCCTTCGTAATATCAATAACAGCTTTATTTATAAAAATGAATGATCGCCACAAGCAAGATAAACGGCGTGATAATCAGCAAAGTATTTTTATTTTTATTCTTTTTTCAATCTTTCTCTGGAAACCGAAAAATGATTTTTAAAAAACGCGGTCAACATTAAAAAATATACAAGTTAAAAAAATAAAATAAAATAAAGGAAGTGGCACAGCTACAAACTGTGAAAAGCGGTAGAAACTGAGAAAGTAAACAAAATGAGAGGGAAAACAAGAAACGCCAGCGAATCTTTCTCGTGCTTTCTCTGCTTTTCATACTTCACAGCCCAACGCCCCTCCCTTTCACTGCAAAAGCTAAGCCAACGACCTCTTGTAATTTTAATACTCTTCTTTAGCATCGTACAGAACCACATTTATTTTATATTCAAAAGAAAGAGAAAGAGAAAGAGAAAGAGACTTTGATTGTGGGGGAGAGATCCCTCATCCCATATGATCCACTGGCCCTCCATTTCACAACCTTGTCTCCAAAATATCTCAAACTAGGCAAGAAATTACCGGAGTTTAAAAAAAAAAAAGAGTGAGAGAGAGAGACTCTTCCAAGATCCATGCTTTCTATACGAACTGTACACTTACTTTATTACCAACTATCCAGGCATTTTGAATCCAATCTCTCTGAAACATTTTCATATGCCTACCTATCATTTTTCACATCATATTCATATCCTCCTACATTGTGACCACAAAAAATTCCACCCACTTCAAGAAAAAAAAAAACAAGAGAAAAAAAGACAGATCATTTCTTCCATCTTCCATGTACAAAGATCACCCTGCCTTCAAATACATCATAATGGCTGTACCTTCAAAATTCAGCCACAAAAACAATCTAGATTCGGCAGGTCACATAGCCACAGAAACAACATTGGCCTGTTAACCACACAGTCAACCGCAAGCTCCCAACTTTACAATGGATTCAGCCACATTTTTTACTCAATGCTAACAGTCTTTAGTGAATATTCTCCCCACAAAATCACGGAACCTCTTGGAGTAGAGCTTTGGATCAACAGCTGAGATTGATGAAGGGTCAACCTGCAAGGACTTGTATGCATGCTCCAGCTTCTTGCTGATGTCATAATCTTGCAAAATGTCGATAATACCAAAATATAAAACAACATCGTAAGTCTCCCCTCTGCAACAAGGGGTCGTATGGCTGATTCCAACCGTGGTGTATTGATCAAAATCACTCCTTCGAGCCATGCGCTCTGCTCTTGCAGGCATATTGGCTCCTAACCTAATCAATGATTTCCTGAAACAAGAATAATAATATTTAACAACGCATAAAAATTTACACACATGATTAATCCCCTGTCCCCCTAAAAAATTTAGCATTCACATTGAAAACCAACAACCTTAAAAAGTTTATAAATGCTATTGAATAATTCATCATTTAGAATTTTCAAAAAATTTAGTAACCAGAAGTTGATCTAATGAAGCTGTGTCTGTGAAAGCTGCAGTATAGGATAAAGTCAGAATGAACATAAATGCAAAGATAGTATGAAAATATTCACCTAGGGAGAAACAATCAACATTGACTTGAGGACATAATTGTGGGGCTAAAAATAAAATAAGAAATTCAAATTCTTCCTAATGAAATTAGGACCACAACCTCGTCTGCCAGACTATGCCCACCTATCAAACTACTTGCAAGTTGCACTTATTATCGTGAATGTCACAAATTCAACAATAGGAACGATTAGGCACCAAAAATGCCATCGAAGAATCAGAAATAAACAATAGCATCCAATAACAGGTCTACAACATACATATCTATTTTTTCACTAGGATGGCAATGTGTACAAAATACAAGCACCTCTTCTTAGGTTCTTTATTGGGAACTAAAACTGATTCGAAGAACACCTTGTCCCTACCCACTTAAACTACTGATGCATGTATTAAAACAATCCAATAATTCTATTAATTAAAACCAAAATATTTTTAAAGGAACTGGAACATGTTTCAACATACCGGCCAGATTTAACTCGATCCCTATCCTGTAGCTCTGCTTCAAGGAAGCGGTAACCTCGCATGAACTTTTCACTCTGATATGAATCCTGCTTTCCTAAAAGAGGCAACAACATAATCACTATTAACACTTACTGTTACATACAACTTATCTACTATATGCACTGAAGTGAAATATGGATCAATACCAGTACGCAATAGAAAAGGTGATAATCCCATTTTGTCATATGTATTATCATCACGAAAGTGAAGGCCAACCAAAAGACTGTAATCCATAATTCCCTCGGCTTCCAAGAACTCACAATCCCGCTCAATTTGTCTGAACATAATATCAAGACAAAATTAAATCAACAGATATGCATGACATTACATTGCGAAGTAGCAGCCACGAAAATGTTATATAGAACATACGAAACAACTTACTTGATGAGATCCAGGAACCAATTTTTTTGTAGACGAAACACAAAATTGAGATCCAGGTCCTTGAGGGTGGTAGTTTCATCAATCTCCTCTTCCGCCTTATCTGTTGTACGGCCATGTGAAGATCCTTTCAAGTCAAATCTTCTGTGGATTGGATATTCGGAGCAGAAAAGATTGCCCATCACAATGAAGCGGGTCTGGATTTCAATAACAAATTTTAGCTACTGTGATGCATAGACCAATCGTTTACAAAATAAAAAATTTATCTTCTAAGACATACCTTTTGACCTCCAATTGGTTTGACACAGTGTACCCCATAGAATTTTGTCACAAGTGAATTCTCATATTGAGAAACATGTTTGTAATAACTTCGCAGCATCCGAAGAAGCACCTAGAAGAGAGTCACAAAAGAGTCAATAAAAATGTCCACCACAGAGCCAGAGATTTCAAGTTACAGAGAATTTTATATAAGGTAAAAAACAAAATAAAAACAAAAACAAAAAACTAATGATTGATTACATTAATTCCAAAACTGTTAAAGGTAGACCTCTTTCCACACAAAAAACCAACTATGTTATAAAAGCAATTTAACTACATACTGCATTGGAGCAGAAACTAGGGCTCACTGAAATAGAAAAATGTCCATTTGGCCAGTGTATATGGTTTGTTGAAGTTCTAGAATTCTTATTATCAGCACCCTAATGTGAATAAACATGGAATGAAGTTTTCAAATTTAACAAGAGAAAACTCAAAAAGTCTATAAAGCAGTTATCTAACCTTGACTTCAGATTTCTTCACCGTCTTTATCATGAATCTGTCATCTTGGGTCAAGTAGAAGAAGCTTCCACTTTTCCCAGGAGAAGAAAGCTCCCTGAGGGCATCATTCCCACATATAGCTAACATGTAATCAGCAGGATCCACCTGGAATAGCTTCCTCAATTGTCTGAAATTCAAAACAGAATCCAGTCAACAACAAAGCAAAAGGCAGATAAAGTAGCAACAAAACTCTTAACTCCATAGGTTGCACATCATGATGATGACCAAAACGTAAAAATGTAATAATTATTGGAGTTTTGGGTTAAAAAAAAGTGAAAAGGCCGAAGGTGTCAACTAACTTAGCAGGTAAAGTCCTTTGCAGTTAATTGCAAGGACTTGGGATCTAATATCGCTCTCTCTAGCTTGAAATCTAAAAGCTTTCACAGACCAAACCATCTTATGTGGAAAAAAAAAAAAGGGGAAACAAAAGGCTATATACCTAAAAACCATAGGGCAGTAATCCTTCCAGCGGAACTCCACTGATTGATGTGGTGGCGTAATCTTGGATCCTTCAGGTGGAAACCTTGTCCAAAATTTCTCCTTGGGATCAAAATCACCCGGTTTAAGCTCTCGCAATATCGAAGCTTCCTTCCCAACAGAGTACCTAAAAAATTACAAACCAAAAATCTCCTAAATCCAAAAACAGTAACTCGCAAGCAATGAATAAAATTTCAGATCCCAAAATTTAAAATTAACAAAAAAAAAAAATCCCACCCTGCTTTGCAGAAGAGTGCTTTACCTTATACCCAGTTGCAGATTAAGCATCAAATCATAATTCTTATGCCCCTTGGATATAGTTTGTCCGGGTCTTTTCACCTCAGCAGAGAAACAACAAGGTTTGGGGAGAAGCTGCTTAACATCTTGTCGATGCGACACCGTTTCATCCCCATCCCGATACAACAAGGACACATTATCGATTATATCACAAGTTATATCACCAGCTTCTCCATCGGATTCCCATATACAAATCCTGGGAAAATTCTTCTCCGTTACGCTCCCTCTGGCACTGTCGACCGAAGACCTCTTCCTCATTGTTATGGTGATATTATCAGCACCATTACCAATAACGGGGTAGAAAGTCCCGTTCAAATGGTGCAGCATCTTAAGGTCACTGTTCCAGCACCCAACATAGCAACTTCCATCAGGCCATGTGAAAACCCCTTGCCCTTTAGGTACCCCATTCTCCCATTGCCCTTCGTAACGATTCCCATTCGACCAAATAAGCGCACCCCTCCCACAAATAACGCCGTTCTTCCACTCCCCAACATATTCGTTCCCGTTCTTCCACACGTACCTTCCCTCCCCGTCCTGAACATTCTTCTTCCACGACCCTTCATAGAAATCCCCGTTCGCATACCGTTTCTGCCCGTACCCGTGTTTTCTGTCGGAGCTCCACGACCCACGGTAAGTTCCACCGTCGGATCCAGTAAAAGTCCCGAACCCCTCCATCCGACCCGATTTGAACTCGCCCTCGTAGGTTGCCCCTGAAGGCCAAGAGAACTTGCCTTTCCCAGAAGCTTTTCCTCTCTTCCACTCCCCTTCGTACATGCACCCATCCCTCCATAGATATTTCCCCGATCCGTTCGGCACGTTACCGGAGAAGCTTCCCATGTAAAAATCACCGTTCGGCAACACCTCCTCTACTCTGCTACAAGGTTCAATGATGGCTAGGGTGGTGGGTGTGGGTGTGGGTGTAACCCTTCGGGTCCCGGATTGAGACCGGCTACGGCCGGTTACCACAACCGGCGACGGTGATTGTAGCTGAGTTGGCTTGTGTTTGTCTTTGTCTGTCTCTAACTTGTTGTTGTTGTTAACGTCACTGGCCTCATCACACAGAAGAGCTTGGCGCATTTTCTGTTTCTTTTCCGCAATTAATGCATTTTCGGCACGAGAACTGTTGCTTGTTGGTATTAGAATCTCAAGCAGCACATTTGTGAATAAGTGCGCAGAGATGAAGAGTGAAGCTGATACTTCTGTACTCTCTCTAAAATTTTCTTTTTCTCTCTGGTTTCAGTGTTTGGGGAGATGGGTGGATTCGAACCAACAGCTCAGAACAGAAGCTAAGCGGATAGAGCTTAGAGAGAGAGTAAAGTGAAGGTGCAATAAATATTAAATTTTATTTTGATTTTGTTTTTTAGTATTCAAAATAAATAAACTAAAATATATAATGAGTCAAGACAGTTTTAATTTTTATGTATAATCTTAAAAGACAATTAGACGGCTTTACCTAGGAAACGTTGGTAACGGTTAATATTTAATATTGTAAATGTATGAGTAATATAAAATAGAAACCATCTCTCTGCTTTAAATTATTTTCAAGAGGACGAATATATCCTCGTCCCTTCTGTGAATTCTTTGTCTTATCCCGTTGCCAGCGTAGATGTTTCTCTCTTGGTTTCATCGTGACGTAACGGAATCGCCTAGGACTGTAATTGATGATCTAATATTCTTCAAAAAAATTGGGCTGACGACTGAGGAGAGCTTGCAATTTCCACCAACTTTTTTATTGTCCCCCCTCGTCTTTCTCGTAATTACGATTCCGCCTTTTTATTTTTAATATAGAAGAAAAAAAGTATCTAATGTTACTTTAGATAATTTTGTCTAATATATTTTGAAACAATGTTGTTTAAGTGTTGAAAAATTAAAAATTAGAATAATAAATATTATTATAATCCTAAAATAAATTAAAATTACAAAAACACCATGTTTTGCACCCAAAACAACATCATTTCGATGAACATTAGATAAAATTATCTAAAGTAATTTTAGAACAAGCAAACCCTTAATATATAGCATGAATTAGTTAAAAACTACATACAAACATTTTTTTCTCAAAATTTATCCTTTATATATGAAAAAAATATTTCTCCGGCAACTTGAGATAAGTTTATCTCCGACTACCCAAAAACTACGTCGTTTTGTTTATTTATTTCCTTATATTAATTGATTCGCCTTTGAATGGTTATAATTCCTTTTTTCTCTCTCTTCCTTTATTACCATTGATCCATATTTGTATAGTTATGATTTAATAGCTAGAGATAACTTTATCTCCGGCAGTGAGAAATGATAAGCCCTTTATATATATATATATATGGAAAATATTTTCTTATATAATAGGAGAGTTATTTTCTTCTACTAGTAATATTTGATTCTCGTGCAATATTTTCTTTTGCTTTTTTATTTTTTTAATAGATCTGGAACCCACATAAGATGTGTCTACAATATGAGAAAATTATCTCCTACCACATAAAAAAATCGAAACTTATATATATATATATGGGTTCGCTTTGTGTCATGTCACATGACAAGATCATTTTCCTGCACACACAAATCAAGTGTGGGTCCCACACTTAAAAAAAAAAGTGAAACCAAAATCAGGATACGGCGCCGTATCCTCAAGATACGTTGCCGGATCCTTGTTGCAGGAATGAACAGAGTCATATTCCTGCAACATGATTCTTATATTTCCTATATATATATATATATATATATGGTGCCACAACAACTCTCAAATTTTGATAACCAATAAATCTAAAAGTCCAATTGAACTATTGTTCAAATTAGAGTGATATTTATTTTAAAGTTCCAAACTAACGTTGGATAACCACAAAGCACGATAATTGGGAACCTAAACTCTATGCAGACGAATTTTACCTGTAAGAGCAATGATTAAATATTCACAGCAAACAATATTGATAGATGTTGACCTTTGTGGTTAGTGCATATATATATATATATATATATATATATATATATATATATATATGAGAAAATCAAATCTTATGTCACAGAAATTGGATTTTTTTCTCCAGTTCTCTCTTCGAAAGTAGCGCTGCATGTTTTTTGTTTTCTTTATTTTTTTCTCACCTGGGACCCTCAATTGGCTTTGGCTGTGTCTGCTAGAATAGAATCCTTATCATGCAACAGAAGAATTTCATTGCCCTATATATATATATATATATATATATATATATATGATTTTGTTTTTATACATCAATCAAACACTTTGGGGGCAATAATAACTGCAACCGTGTAATGCTTGGTTGCATCAGCATATAAATTTAGGGTTTTATGTTTGTTATGTTACATGATGTAACATAACTTTCTTACACACACAATTTTATGTGGGTCTCATCTCTTGATTTTTCTTTCTCCTTTTTTCTCTCTCCTCTCTCTTCTTAAATGTGTGGATAGGTTTGTTATGTTACATCATGTAACATAACAAACATAATGCCCATAAATCTATTATTTTGTTTTGCAATCTAACTTATAAATTGTCACCGGTCGGTTGGATGCCAAATATATTTCGTAATGTTTCCTTTGAAAAGAATTTGACTTCGGTTTGTTATTACTTATTAGATATGGCTTCTGATTCTGTGTGTAGTTTTACTTTTACCATCATGCAAAGAGATTAAATAAATTTTAATTTTAATTTTAATTTTACTTTGAAGAAAATAATCATTCGGTAAATTCCGTATCCATTTTGCTGAGGATTGTTCTTTAGTTATTTATTTTAAAACAAAATTAGAATATTATCTCACCTCATAAGTGAGGAACTAATATCTCGAAATATAATTAAGTGAAAAGTTAATGATATTTTTTTTCTATACAGTTGAATTTCAAATCAAATCTAAGCCCACAATTAACCAAATTTGGAAGCAACATAATCAAAATGAAGACTAGTATTAGGGGATAATTAACAACAGTAATTGAATAAAATAATAACAATAATATTTAACAATCCTTGAAACAAAAAAAAAATGATACTTGACTTTACGTGAGCTTTGGGAATGGTGGTGGCTTAAATGAAATTATAGAGGAATGGACCTATTTCCGCCCTATGGCCTACTTTGTGGCCCAATTTCAGCGGTTAATTTTCCAATTAGATTCCCCTCCTTCCGCTGTTACGTTTTGTTTGCAAACAGTAAAACTGATGATAAAAAAAAAAAAAAAAAAAGACTAAACTTTGCCAGATATCTTTTTCCGCAACGTTTTGCAGTATTGTTCAAAGAAATAATGATACACTTCTTCGAAGCTGCTTTTTTTTTTCCCCCGCAATTTTGTGTATGTAATACGTACAAAAGGTTGGAAGGTTTAGGAAATACTTTCCGTAACCAAGTCATCGTTTAATCGGGTAAATGTGTAATCATATGGATTGAATATATATGTAAACGTGACATTGTCATTCACACATTCTCTTTTATTGATATGATTGATTATATTTAAATTTAAATGGTTAAACTTATTTTTTTCCTTTATCATACTCAATTGAGCGAAGTCATCTGCATCGCAATTTATATACGATATACAAAAAAAAGTATGCAAACAACATTTTCTTGTTTAAATTATGATACTTTAACAATTATAATAATAATTGAAATACAATAAATAAATTATCCTCCAATTATTAATAGAAAAAATAAACAGTACCAGACTATCATATCTAACCTGCTACGATGGCAATTATTTTTTGCGTTCGGCCCCAATGTAATTGTAGTCGTGGAGGCCTGAAAGGTGGATCAAAAAGCTAATCTTATCTAGATGTGTTTTATTTTACGTTTATTAAGCGTAAAATTACAATACTTGAGTTGTGACCTAAATGGTAGGCTAAGCACGATAATCTTATATCACCACAGTTTGTTTCGAATAAAATAAAATTTATCTATAGCTACAAAATTATGAGAGTAAAATGTAACATAAGAGTATACAACGGTAACTTAAGTAATAAATATATTTAAATTCAAACAACTTATGCAATAACAACTAACAAAGATTTTATCAAGTTGGCACATAAGAGTTGAGCAAATAGGAGTGAAAATATGTATTCGATACTCTCTAATATCACCTTTGAAAGGAATTTAAAGCCTTAATACACATGCTAAATCGAACTAGTCGCGAAACGATAACCCATTGAAATGTTTTTTTTTTTTTAAAAAAAAAACAAAGATTATTTTTTTAATTAACTCAACTCTAATTATCTCTTTGAGGCGAATTGGCTCCCTTAAATATCTCTACAAGCTTTGACTTTTTTAGCTGGCTATCGGATGAATCTGGAGTGCGAGGCGGGTCAAAATGAAGATATTTAAACACCACCCAAAGGTGACATGTGAGAATCTAACCAAAGCCCTTACTTTTTTACTTACTCAACTCTCTTGCTACCCACTGAATCATTTATTATACAGACCAATCTAAATGTTTTTTATATCATTTTTTTCCAGTAATCTGAAGGGTATCCTCCAGCCATAACTGAAGACTAATCCTCAATCGAGCACGCACTGTCGGACCCTTTCGGGGGCAGCTCTCCCAAATCCTTTTTTTTCATTCCCAGGACTCGAACTCGAGACCTCTGGTTAAGGGACCCAGGCTCCTTACCACCTTTGCCAAAGGAGTTTGGTATGTTTTTTATATCATTGGACCACTTTAAGTATGTGCGGTGCGTTTACCATGTATGTTTTACTGGAGTCTCCACTCTCCAGTAAAACTCTCTTAGTGGAGCTTTTTATATCATTTGGTACAACTCTCTTATTGGAGTCTCCACTCTCTAGCTAGTCCAGTTCATATATCTGAATACAATGCATTGGCGAATCATATAATTATATATAGGTTAAGTTAGTCTCGTGTAACATAAGATAGAGAGTTTTTCCTACTGACCCTTTGATATCCGTGCTTGCCTTTTTTCTTTTTTTAAAAAAAAAATCAATGGAACCCACATATGTTGAGTCTATCACATAAGATATCTTATCTCCTTCAGCAGGAGAATAATAATTCCCATTATATATTGATTACAGCTATTCAAAAACGTATCAACGTTAGTTGCACCCTAACTTCAATTACAACAGAAGACTTTCGTGTTCTCATTAGAAGCATCGATGTTTATATCAATCTGAAAATAAACATGATGT